TTAAGAACATTTGTAAGAATGGTGATGGCGCCAACAAATACTCCAGTATTGGATGCAGTGGTGTCACAACATGCCTTTTGGAAATGAAGTCAATCTGATTGGATCTTCTCCCACAGATCTTCTCCCTAAACTTCATCACAGATAAGTTTGTTACTCTCCTGTATGAAATCTTCGATTGCATCTTAAATTCGATTTAATTCGATTAAATTCGATCAAATTTGATTAAAATCTTTGATTGCATCTTGGTGAATCTATCAATGCTAGAATCCTAGTTAGATTTCTTAGATAGATGAGTTTGCAATAATTAGTATGGAGCTTCAGAATCTTATCCCTCGATGATATGAAAAAAAAAGATTCTTAAGTTAATTAATTTCCTATATGTATTGGTTTCTTTTTTTTTTATTTATGTTTGTATTTAACTTTTTTTGCTGAGTTACTTATTGTTTGTTTACATAATTAAAATTTTTTTTATACCTGATAGCAGCTCCTGAAATGATGAGTTCTCTAAAACCAGCCTTGTTCCAAACGTCCATTACAAGAGCAATGACACAATTATGGTTGGGATCTTTACATAATGTACTCTTGCAGATAAGAACTTTGCCTGGAGGACTGCTTGAGAAAACTTGCTGCTGGAGAACAAGCTGCAACAAGCTTAGTAGATTTAAACTTCCAAGACCTTAGAGATTTGACAAGCCACAGCCCTCAGAATTAGGGTCGACATTTGGCAATGTCGATTTAATTGCCAACCTTAGCCCTCAGGAATTAGTCTGTTTTTTTTTTTTTCCCCCTATATTCATAGCTTTCTTCTGAAGATGACCCATTTTAGAAAATACTATGAAATATTATATATAACATACATTTATTTATTCATTTCATCATCTCAAAAATTAAAAAAACTTGTGAATAAAAATAAGAAATTAAATTTATCTTTTTAGTTGTTGTTCTTTTTTTAATAAGTATAATGCATATAAAATATCAAATAATGCATATAAAAATATCAAAGTTTAGATTTTGTTAAAAATAAAATAGTCAAATTGAGCCTACTCTAAATTACATGTGTTTTGCTTAACTCAGCCTAGTTTAGGAAAGAACTGAACAATTTGCATTTCTTAAAAACAAAAATTTGCATTTATAAACTTCAATTTTTTGTGTTTTCCGCTTATTTTCGACTATTACTGTTATATACTTTTAAAAAGTAGAATTTAAGCTTTTCTTATATAATTTATTATAATTTATTATTTTTTTATAAATCTTTTTTAGCCAAAGCATCAAACAAAACAAAACTACCACTAGAATACATAAAATGCAACGGGCAGCGTGATAAAAATAGCTTAAACAAAAGTGTCAAGTATTTACATTCCAAAAATGTCTCTTTTATTCAATAGTAAAATGACTTCTTGTTTACAGTTTTAAAATATTCAATAAATGACTAAAAACCTCTTATTTTATCTTTTTGTAAACAGTAAAAATGTTAAAATCAAAGTTTTCATGTCATTTGAATAAATTACTAAACAAAAACGTTTCAATTTTTATAAAACTTCTGCCCCATAGTATTAAGCTAAAACTTCAAACTCGTAGATAATAAAATCACCGAATATTTGTAAACAAAATAAAACAACAAGCTTCGTGATTTAAAAAATAAATAAATAAATAAACTATTCAAAACACACACAAAATAAAACAACATTGTTTGAAAGCGAAAGGGAATAAATGTTATATTTTTCTTTGGATTTCTCCTTAACTATGCTGAGAATATGAGCCCAATTCTGTTAATACTGGAATCCTCTTGCTTATTTGGTGCATGAAAATTGTTTTTCTTAATTCCAAAGGTTGTATATATATCAAGCTTTCCTAGGAAAGGCGTGCGGTTTTTCGTTTCTTATGACCACATGCGATTATAATATTTTAGAAAATGTGAACACACCCGTTTGCAAGTTTTATAATAATGCTGAAAAAGTTTCAAAAACAAAAAAACATAACTAACAAAATAAAAAGTGATTGAAATAGAAAAAAATAAAAACAAATTAATAATTTAAATATTTTGTGTACTGTTTTTATTTTTGTTTCTTTAGAGTTACATTCAACAACAAAATTAGATAAGGCAAAGCAAAAAAAACAAACAATTTGAAGTCTACAACAAAAAGAATGATTTTCCTTTTCTTAATTTTTTTATTAAGAGGATAGCAAAAATACAAATTGAAATGTGTTTGTAAAATTTATTTGTATAGTTTTAATGTAACAACAAGGGATGATTCAAGCAAATGCAAAACCCAAAATCTGGAAAAATATCTCGTATTCAAAATTTTAGTTTATACAAAACTGTCTTCCTTGTTTTTAAGGGGAGAATCAACTTAAATTTGTTAGCGAAAAAATAAAAAATAAAACAATAAATTTACAAAAGATTACAAAAGTAATAACACTCTAGTCACTAAGTGCATTACAAAAGTAATAACACTATAATAGTGTTATTACTTTTATAACGCACTTATAACTTTTAAAATTCATTCTTTGTTCAAGCAACATTAGTATTCTCAAATTTTAATTGAACTAGAAAAATATCTAGAAGAATAAAGTGGATGTTCAAATAATATTAAAACTAAAGTAACTTATAAAATCGTGACAAACAACTTTATGAAAACGTTTCGTATTAAAAGTTTAGCATTATAAAAAACGTTACTAATGGACCGTAAAAACGTGCGTTAATTTTAAAATTAACCAAAAAAAATATTTTTTTATGGTTGATTTTAAAAATTAACGCATGTTTTTACGTAACGTTTTTCATTATGCTATACTTTTTATAAAGTACTTTTTTATAACGTTGTTTAAGTGATATGTGAAAGTTCCTGAAATTTTTAATAATATTTGAATATCCGCCTAATTTTTTCTAGATGCTTTTCTATTTTAATAAATGCTTGGAATTAGTAATGTTTTTTGAACAAAGAATGAACTTTAAAAGTAATAAGTGCTTTATAAATGTAATAATACTGTTATAGTTTTATTACTTTTATAATGCAGTTAGTGACTAAAGTGTTATTACTTTTGTAGTTGTAAGTTTATTTTTTTGTTTTGTCTTTTGTAACTTTCTCGCTAGCAAACTTTTAATAATATGCTCCTTATAAACTAAGTACACAGTTTTGCATGAACTAAAATTTTAAAGATCTAACGTTTTACCAGAGTTTGCAAACGCGATCGTTTAATTTAACTCTTGATATAAACTTGTTACATTATAATTATACAAATATATTTTACAAACAGATGACGATACATATTTTCTCTTTCCTCTTTAAAAGAAAAAACACATAAAATAATGAGAAAGTCATCCTTTTTAATGCCTACAACGTTTTTTTTTTTTTGCTTTGTTTTAATGAATTTTGTTGCCAATAGTAATAACCACTAAAAAAAAAAAAAAATAAAAACAACACATATATTATTTAAACTATTATTATTGTTTTCTATTTAAGTTTACTTTAATTTCTTATTTAGTTATTAAATTTAAAACAATTTTCAGTAACCCATATAATATAACTTGTGCAAACGGCAGTGATCACGTTCTCTAACTTGAAAAAACGTTTTCGTGGTCGTACAAGAAAAAAAACCGCATGCCTTTCCTGGGAAGGCTTGATATATATATATATATATATATAAATATATATATATATATATATATATATATATATATATATATATATATATATATATATATATATATATATATATTTATATATATATATATCTTTTACTGCTGAGTTAGGTGAGCTGTGTGACATAATACTGAAATAGCCTGCTGCTGTGGACTTCAGTACATACATCGACTGGCAAATAGCCTGACTCGCAGTGGAGTGCTGCTGCATAGCCTAAGGGTTTTGGGATAGGGCAGCAACTGTTTCATTCATTATTCTTCGTTTTCTTCTTTTTCTAAAAAACCTATATCAATTTAGATGAGCAAAAAAAGTGAGCAAATGCACATATAAATATGCTATAGTAGATATGTATATATATATATTAGGGTGGTCATTAAAACAACTTTTTTCCATGAGGTGAAATCTAATATAATAATTTTTTATAAAGTGATGATTAAATTTTGTATATATGTTCGCTTCTTTTGAGACCCAACATGATATTCTTTTAAAGAACTATTTTTTTGATAATTATGGGGACCCGTGGTCCCCATAATTATCAAAAAAATAATATTTATAAAAATATAAAGAATATATATAAAAACATAAATAATAATTATAAAAGTATTAGTTTTAGGGTGGTCATTAAAATAATTTTTTTATTTGTCTGCTATAACCCTCTAAATGTGTTTTATATAATAAAATAATGAGGGGTAGCTCAAGATTTTATAATTTATAAAAAATAAATTATGTAAGTGTATATATATATATATATATATATATATATATATATATATATATATATATATATATATATATATATATATACATGTTTTTAATAATTATTAGGTCCCTACAATTATTAAAAAAAATAATATTTATAAAAATTTAAAATAATAATTATAAAAATATAATTTTTAGGGTGGTCATTAAAATAACTTTTTTATATATAAGTATATATATATATATATATATATATATATATATATATATATATATATATATATATATATATATATATATATATATATATATATATATATATATATATATATATATATATATATATATATATATGTATAATATATATATATATATATATATATATATATATATATATATATATATATATATATATACTTACATAAATTATTTTTTATAAATTATAAAAATTTTTTTTCATTAATTTTTTTACTAATAAACATTAATTGGGACAAGTTTTGAAGACAAAATTAAAATTTAAGTTGTGAAAAACTGAATTAATATTTTTACAGATTTATTTACAAGAAAAATCATTGTTGTTTTATTTAGCTGGAATAACAAACAGTAATATTATTTACTTACAGGAGGTGGTATTACTGAAAAAATATTATTTACTTACAG